GAAAGAGATAGAAAGACATTTTTAACTTAAAAATTAATTCAGAGATGTGAATTTGCTGCCTCAAGCAACAACTCATGAGTCTGCTTTGGCGGGGACAATTAGCAATATCGCAGAAGATAATTGCCCACCCCATCCAAAAAAACGATCAGGATTTTGATTAGCCCCCTAAACTTTAAGAGGTTTTTTATGTTTAAGTTAACGGAACAGTTTATGACCTTGACGGCTTCTTTTCCGGTAAGACAGCACCCACATCCAGGAGGGCAGGCAGTTATACTAACAGTAGTACTGAGAACGTTACTTCTCAGGTTAAAACAAAACGTCTTCTAAAAAAAAAAAAAGTAAGTGTGATGAAGTACAGAACCATTATGTTACTCAGCTCCACAATAAGCAAACCATAACTAGGAATTTCCTTTCATAATTTGAAGACCAATTACAATGCTTTCTCCAGATACTTATTTTGAAGATAGCCATATGATGAGTCCAAGAAGTGATAGGCCAACAGCAAGTATAATAACGAGGATGCACATCTTCTTTCGGGACCTTTGCTGCCAATAGAGGAAAAAAAGGTTGATTGAAAACTGCACCCTCACATCAGAAGACTACTCAAGTGCTTTTATGGTCCTACTGCTTGTGCAAACTAACTGAATTGCGTGCTTACTAACAACAAGTCGTATAGAGTCGCTCAAGAAAAAAAAAGAGCCAAGTTATCCATGACTGACTTTTACGGCTGCATTCAACAAATTCTTTCAGTGGTAAAAAAGAATGCAGTAATGTAATGAATGGATGTAATTAGAATACTGGGGGAAAGACAATGCAAGGGAGCAGCTGGCCACATACAGAGGAAAGTGGACAATCAATCTGCACAGTAGAGGAGGTAGCAATGGTCTGCTTATTATTTAAAGACCTTATTATTTAAAGATTTTATTATTTAAAGACTATTAATGTATATACAGAAGGGGACAAAGGACTGCAACTGTAAACTTCTGGAAGATTGACTTTGCATCTATTCACTTCAAAATGAATAAAGTTACTTTAAAGTTGTTTTTTCAAGTTTCTTAGGTACAACTTGCTCTCTCTGAAAAAAGAAAGGTAAACAAAAGGAAAAAAAAAAAAAAAAGAGACCTGACTAGGGACCCTGTCTCATGGATGTCATGACAACAAAGTTAGGAGCATGTCTAAAATTTTCACATCTCCCATACAGGTCTGTAACTTGAGATACCAGAGCACCCAAGACCAGCAGAAATCTATCATCCTTTGTCCGAAGGATATGGAATCTGAAGGTTTCCTTCACAGCAGGAAAACCCGTGTGTTTCATAGGTTTCTGCTGATAGCCACGGGACAGGAACACTCAAATCTCGGGATCCTAGGCCACAGCTCCAGAAGCAAAGCCACACTTGGCTTTATTTGGCAAAAGGTTTTGCCTGGGTGGTTTTGGTCGTGTGTCATCGTGCTCCACACCACCTCCGTAGAACTACATCTGTGTCAGTTCTTCACTGCAGCTGCCAGTTCTCTGCCCAGTACCACCCACACTACCAAGTTTGTCTTAACTATTACCGTCTTCTAGTTTTAGTACCTCGCTGTCAGTTCTCCTCTCTCACTGTCAGGCTCGGATTTCTTCATTTCACCATTTTACGTGCTAGAATTCAATCCGTTTGCTAGAGTATCTTCCTTTTTTATTTAATCTGTGGCCAGATTCTCTCCTTACACTCCCAGTCTCTTTTTCATCCCGGACACCACCTCTTGCCAACACTGCACTGAAGTCAAAACATTTCCCTGGAACACCACTTATGCAAGCTAGGGGACTAAAGACATGGAGATCTTATTCCCTCACACACTTGATGGACATTTCCACGACTGCTGAAGCAGCAGCGGTAAAGGGGGAAAGGAAGGAGAGGAGCCTGGCTTTGCCCAAACAGTTCAGCTGTGTGCATACGCCCACAGGGCAGACACACGGCGCGTACCTTGTTCAACCACAAACAGCAGTTGCGAGGGACAGACCACGTGCAGCCTCGCCCCCGCCAGAGCGGCCAGGCTTCTGACACTTCCCCAGAGGGGTCAGAGCACACCGATATAAGAGTTGCTGAAATTAAAACAAGCCTCCTTAAAGTGGAAATGATTTTTCAGCCTCTCAGAACGAGGATGAGTTTTCAAGCAAAGGGAAAGTGCAGACCCGAAGCAAGCTACACAACCCTTTCCAACAGAGGCCGACTCTGCAGAGCAGTTGGTCTCTGCTGCAGGGCCCACTGAACAGAAGCCCATCAGAAGGCTCGATAACCTTCCTTTGAGATCAGAAGATATTCATCCTTTCCTCCTCAAGATAAAGCACGAATTATTTCACTTTAAGTTTCAACCAGAAAACTTAACACCCTCCATAGAAAGTTTCAGGTACCACTATTTTAATTCCTGAACTTGGTCAGTGTCAAAACAGGAGTCATCAGCCATACTTAATGTGCCAGTTAGGGCCATACAGTTCAAGGATGCATCTACCCCTTCCCCTCTCCCACTTCTGAAATCAGCAGGCAATTCTGCACATGTTTTGTCACTGATTTACTGTCCTGGCTACTACTAACACACATAAGAGGATTAAAAGACTGACTAAAGAAGGAAGATTCACTACTAATAAGATTATTTATAATAAGTTCAAAAATGTTACAAAGAAGTGGCATTTAGAGGTATTAAAGACTTTTCAAAAAAGTTTGAGAGTTTTAAAACACATTTTTAGCACCAGTGTTAACAGAAGCTGGATATGTACAGCTCTGAGAAAACTGTGAACAGCAAAAACTGATGCTAGCTGACAGCACCTTCAAAAGACTTCCCTATCTTCCCTACTCCTCTAGGGATATTCAGAGGCTCACTGTCTGTACACAGAAACCTTTTACTTCTTGAGCTGTAATAGGAGAGGTAGGTTGGTTGTTGTGTGGTTTTTTTTTTTTTAAAAAAAAGGTATAATTCCAGGTGCTCTGAAACAGCCTGGTTAATTTTACAGGAAAGCCAAAGTTTTCAGAGGTCACTGTCTTTTGTTTCATAATGACCCAGAAATACCATCGTAGTCCAACACAAACCCCTAAGTGAGTCTCCAGGCCTTGAGGAAACTGATAAGCAAAATCTGAACTGCCTAAGTCAGTGGAAGTCAGGACTACTGAGAAAGAACAGGGACACACAGCTGGCAGTCGGCATTGACCATTACCTGGTAGTTGGCTGCTCTTGACAGCTGCTGGTTTGCTTGCTGCACGTGTACATCTGCATTTTCCACATTGGCTTCTATGCTGTCTTTATTTTAAAAGGAAAGATTTCAACTTTTGGTTAGTCATAACCCAGCCAAAGGCCTGGAATGCTGAAATGCACTTGAGAACATATGTAACAGCTGCCCCTCAACTGCTGGTGTCTTCATCAACACCCGAAGTTGTATATCTTGCATTATGGAAGTTTGACCCATCCTGTACTAATGCCCAAGTTCATTGCCCAGACAATAAGTGGCTGAATTCACATCAGCAACAGCTCCCCTGCTCCAGAAGCAGGGCTGAGCCTTAGAAACCAACCCAGGTAGAAACTTTCAGTACTTTTCTGTCCTCCAACTTGCTACTGACTGCTCCTTGCTCAGAGGAAACAGACACACAAAACACCCTAAGAGGCATGACTCCAGTCTGGTCTTCTATTGTACTGACACAGATTTTTTGTTCTGTGTGGACAAATATGACAGGATCTTGAACAGATTATTGGCTAAGGTGAGAGAAAAAAAGTCCTGCAAATGTATGCTGGACAAGCCACACTGTTGTCTATAACAGCAGACCCAGAAAATGTGTTTTCCAATCACATTTCATTAAAAGAGTAAGTCTGTCCACATGGAGGGTAAAGCAGGATCCTTGGCTGAATCTGCACACTTGTATCACTACTCAGTGAGGTAAAACTCTCCACATAAACTCCAATTTCATGTACAAACAGTTCCAAAACCTACTTCTAAACACATTTTATACACATTAAAAACTACACAATTTTTGTCATTACACTTTAAGCACGCTTTCTTAGTGTATGCCCAGTCACCTCAGCCAGTCTACCCATTATCAGGCTGCACCTGATTGGCTTTAGCATTGATATTCTCACAACGGGAATTTTTCCAGCAAATGAAAGATCTACTTTGCTGCAGAGACACAGAATAAAAGTTTTTCAGAGAAAAAACGAGTTGACTTGCCTATTACATCTCCTTGCTCATGAATCATCATTCCCAAATCTTTAAAGATTTCATTGATGTCCATAATATCTGCCTGCAAGGAAACAATCAACACATTAGTTGACAAAACATATTGCAGGATGACTGTCCATTTAGACACAAATACTGCTCCTTCTCCTCCCAACTATGCATCCATAACTCTTTACACTACACAATAAAAAAAACCCTCACCTTGATATGTTTATTTGGAAGGCAGTGGGTTTTTTTGTATTACTAGAGCAATCTAACTGAAGATGAGCATGTGCACGAAGTACACTTCTTGTCGCATCACAAACAGGATTTCTCATTGCTGAGGGCTCGTCTATACACATTCTTGTTTTAGCACAACTGAAGGGGTAGGCTCATGCTAACTTTGCTTAAAAGTATTCCCTTTAGCCCAAATGAGTCAAAGCATATGCATTAGGTTTAGCACATCTTTTAAATTAAACACGTGCAAATTTCACAAGCAGCAGTTTAGAGGAGTTACCTCTATAATATGGCCAGGCTGCTACACCTATAATACATTCTCCTGTTGCCATCTGGTTATAATGAAGTGATAGATGTCACGTTACCACTCTGCATATGATTTCTTCTCAACTAATGATTGATACATCCTTAGTTCAGTTCACTGTATGTTAACGTATGGGTGGCAAGGGAGAGATTACTGCAAAATTTACACATATAATGGACTTCACCACATGCATCAGTAAGATTTCCTGACAAACCCCAGTTCTAGCATCTTTCTTGTTGGTAGAGATGTGGATTCCAGACTGGCTGGAAAAATAAATTTTGTCTTCACAGAAGTCTCTTGATGTCAATATTTCATCACATGTGACAGTTTTTTTGTGTAGTTTACATCTTGTTTTTAAATGCTTTTAATGTTTTGACAAGCCCTTAATTACAAAATTCTGAATGAAACACAGCATCTCAGTATTTCCAGAAGAAGTGTTCAAAAAAAGACAGTTGCAAAATGAAGATGGTGAGCAATATATTGGGAATACCTGAGAGGAAAGGTATGAGTTTGCTTCTCTTAGTCAGTGTTAAAAAAGGTTATATAATGACCACTATGTTGGAAAATAAGGATATATATTTTTTTCATGCAATCCCATGAGCACTCTTACTCTAGAGCTGAACCACCAAAGTTAAACACAGTATCAAAACATGGCTTTCATACAGGAGATTTCTAATGTACATTTCACATACCACCTAAAGGCAGTATTTGTAGTTTTGAAGGAAAAAACCCACACCCACAAACAAACCCTAACTCCTCAAGATTAATGTCTGCAATTAAGTTTCATTCCACTGTAAAATGTTTTTCCTTTGGAGACATTAAAAACATATTCTGTTGTAAAACCACTTGTGCATACCTCAAGCTGCCTAATGGAAGATTCCCTCTCCTCAATAAGACGGAGGTCATCTTCTGTGATTTCTTCATCTTGCACTTGAGCTTGCGGTTGACTATCAAACAAAAAACCCACCCAGAATTGAACAGGCACGATGAGAAATAACTCAGAAGAATAAAAGGACAGTTAAATACATGCACATACCTTACATTATCAGTTAACAAAATGCATATTTTTACCCCTGCCTATCTAGCAGAGGTCTAACAATCACACCTTTAGCATAGGAAGCTGCTGCTGTTGCAAAGCTGCACATGTCATTGAGCTAGCTGACTGGGAATTCCAACCATGAATACAAGGGCAAAGTTTCTTCTGAATTATAAACTGCAGAGTTTATAGCCATCTGAGGTAAAAACAAGCTAGTCAACAAAACAGAACCTGAGACTGAGAAGCAGTTCTCAAAGAGTATGAAAGCAACAAGAGATCCCAGTAAACATAGAACCCTTTTATCACGGCTTAACAGTTTTACTCTATTCACAGGTTGGACTGTGCTCACCTAAGTTTGGGTCTCACAAAGCCCAGATATGGAATTGGGGCAGCTTAAGAAGATGACTGAGGCATGGGGAAAAAAAGGGGGAAATTACATGAACTGCTCCTTTTTCTTCCCATCTATCCCACCAAAATGTCTCTTCTCTACACTTGCCCTGTGGAAGAAAACTGGACTGAACAACCTATCCCAAGTCCCTCCATGAAAAGGCAATTCATCAGAAAAAAAAAAAAATTAAAAGTAAACCCAAAGATTATCAGCAGTTGGCTTCCCTGCAGGCCATTTATTAGTCTGAGCTAGGTTAAGACTTACTTACAAGTTCAGCTTACCTGTCCCAAGAGACAAGTGTTCCTTCTTTGTAGCTCTCTTCAGGAGCACCACCCTACATGATCAGCGTTTAAAAAAATCAAAATATTACGGCCCTGAAAGGAGCACTGTCAGCAGTTCTATAATGAGTCAATATTACAAGGTTTATAGTAAGTCAACTTCAAACTGAAATATGATTTAACATGTTCTCATCCTGATTTTGCTTCATGCATACATAAAGCTGAAATACAAGCAAAAACATTCAGCTCAGTAACCGCCTGCTAAAATTTACAAGTACAGTAACATGTATTGACAGAGAATAAAAAGGCTAAATTGATAGGCTAACAAGGAGAAGCTCAAGATCCTCTGCAATGCCCCACTTTAATACCGCATAGAAATCTATGATTCTTC